GTTTAATTTCACGTATATCTGCTTACAATTTATCATAATGCTAATTGCACTGATCTTGAACTGAATTCAATCACATTAATGATCCCTTGTCATCTTAAATTATTATCCTGTTATCTACATAATAAAAGCAACTTGTAATTATAAATCTTATTCCTTGTGGAATAAGCAAACGTACACCTTATAACAATTACTCTATACAGAAATTATCAAGAAAGCATCAGTGATAGAAAAATGAATGCGCAAAACATCAATATGTACTGTACATTAAGCTGTTTGACACATCGATTCTCTAGTAATGTATAATGCTCAATCTATAATAATTCTCATTCGAAAACAGTTTATAATGCATACACGCTTACACGCTTCTTGTTTCTTTTGAGAAATGAAATATAAAAGCAGAATGGCATCTGTGTTTATTATATAACACATATTGAACAAAGGAACAAAAATTCTTCTTCTCAATGTTAGGAATCAGCATGAACAGATTTAATATATATTAAAGAAATGTTTGGATAGTTCAATATTCAAATATGTCCTTCACATTATACTTGTATATACTCAGCGTATAAAATAAAATGATGTAATTTTAATACCTACGTTAAAATTTATCTTTCCATAAACATATTTATATAAAATGTCAGTTATTTTATCTTTCTTCTATGGTAGAAATCTTAAAAAGTATAAAATACATTTATGCCAGAAATACTACTTGATTCATTTTAAACTTAGAAGACATTCAATGCGTGAAGTAAAAAATTTAATATCACATGACAATCAATCTGGTTCATCAACCATTTTACATTATACGTTTTTCTAGCATAGTAGACACACCTGTAATATACGTCTGATGCGTTGCTATGCTGAATCAAGCCCAAGAGTTGCATAATTGTCATTTAAAATGAAACTGCTACACAACTAGTACATAATATATTTACTGATTATATAAGTCACCTTTTGCGCGAATAATACTAACTAAAATGTATTCAATAGTGGTCTGTTCCACAAGTCGGTAAAAAGAATTCTTAAACGTAAGAGATGTCAAATTTGTGGTTTGGGTAAGTAGAACGATCCAAGGGTAAAAATAAAACGGAGCAGAAAGTTTATCAACGCGTCAAATGTACGTTTACATAGAATGTAATATCGAAACCATCGATACGATATTGAACGAAACGTAATAAAATGAAATGAAATAGTATGAATTACTTCGAATACATATTGAATGCAAGCGAAAGAAAGATGCAAGTTTGTATGGGGCGTATAATTCACTGGCACGCTCAGGGAAACCTGTTACGAGCATACATGCTTGCCGCTTACCTTCTCCTTTGCTCTGCCTGCATGTTTTTGCACGGTTTTCGCGATCAAGGCACCCTTACTTTCTGCCATTTTCGTTGTGTTGTGTTGCTGAAAAGATGATCACACTGGAACTTATCTGTGTAAAACACTAAAATCAACTTCGAGTTCGGCCAATTTTTCTCCGCACTGAACTACAGCAAAGACGCACTAGTGGAAGCGCGAGGAAACGCTAAAGACTGAACGCTAACTCGCATTCCCAGAATGGCTTGACGAGTTTATAACAGTTAACGTGTAGTGGCAGCACCGTCCACGCTTATCCGCTTATGTAAGTAGGTATGCACAACGTTAAGAATATTGCGCCATTACGCGAATGTAGATGGTACTATAATATTTAATCGTATAATATCTATTAAAACACGAGCGAAGAATACAAGAATTCGACTTGTTTTACTACAGACAAGTTACGGGGAAATCCAGTTCATCTTATGGATCTATATGTCGTCAAGAGCTGCTGTAGTGCTATTCTGTATGCTTAGATTTTTATGGCATTATGATATTACGCAGACTTGTAGAACTCGATGCATGAACTAAAAACTCATGCTGTTCAGTTCTTTGGTACTGTTTAAGCTTTGAATTACAAGAGTCGAAAGTTCAGAGTCAACTTTTTTTTAAAGAATTACAACTCGAATAACATTATTTCAGATGTACATACTTGTCAGCACAGGACAAACTGTATTTTCGTTTAAATAAAAATGCAGTATTTTCGAAAACGTTGTGAACAATATTTTTGAATTCTAAATCTGAATATGACTTCGAAGAGGGGAATGTATCGACTTCAAATTTCTTCTGTTTCATCAACGAAGGTATTTTACCCAATTCCCTGCAAAACTGATTTTATAGCCCTGTTTCCATGATGAACTGCTCCGTGAAAAATGGGACATGGGCCGCATCTTTTAAAACAACCCTAATTCCTAGAAAAATTCATTCAAAACTATAATTATTATTACACTATAATATTTATTTACAAACGCTTGGTCTCAGAAAATTGAATTTTCTTGTTCACAATTCTATAAAACAAAATAATAATTACCATCTTCGCTTATAATATGTTTGAAAAAGATCTGACTTATTATGTACATAAATACATGTATGATAAATTTTAGAAGTTGTTTTTGCACATTAACTTCTTTTTTAAAATAGTTCTGGAGGATATTAATGAAACGTATACTTTTTACTTTTCAGTATTTAATCATCTACAAAAATAGTATTTTTATGGATAAAAATATTTTCTGCAAGTAAAATTTCCTTAGAAACGATAGTAATTTGACGTTGTAAAATAATGCAAAAAGAGAAAGTGTGCATACACTGCCAAGTTGTATAGTAACTATGCATACAAGGTTTTTCGTTTAAATTGAGACTAGGGAATCGATTTTCTACAGAATCGAATTTTCCGAAGCCATTTTCGATATTTTTTAATCGATTCTTGGATATTTAATTTTGAAACGAATCGAGTTTTTTAATTACAAATCGATTTTCGATTTTTTGCCACTTACAACATTTCGTCTTCCTACATTCATTGTCTTTAGATAATTGGTTAATTAATAAAAATCAAGCTTCTCAATAAAAAAAATAACTCAATATTAAATGTATAACATTTATACCAATATGATTGGTATATTTATTTATTTAGAACTCGAAAAAATGAAGAATTAACAATAACTGAAGTGTACAATAATCTTGTAAATCGGTTTTAAAGTGCCATAAGAATTAAAATATTGCATTTTAGGTCCGATTTTCTTTTTTAAATCGATTTTCAGAGGATCGATTTTTCACGGTTCGATTTTCTAGTGAATTGATCTTTGACGTTGCAATTCAGAATCGATTCAAGAATCGATCCTTTCGGAAGAATCGCCCATCCCCATAATTTAAAAAAAGAAGCTGGCACACATCTTTCAGTATTTTTATTGCGGATTCAATTGGCATTACTAGGTTTTTATGCGTAGATATTTACAAGTTCATTTCAAGGTCATCTTGTTTTTTTTTTTATCGTTAACCTATATTTTTTATTTCGCAATCATATCCTACGTTCTAGGTTCAATATTTTCTGTGATGTTTAGAGAAACAACTTTTCATAGTAGTTACGTTTATCTCTCTCACTCTTCATCGAGAGAAAAATATCAAAATATTCCAGACCTTTAACTACCACCATTACTTGAAGGTAGGTGTAAGCCTTGCAGCAGACGAAACATGTGGCTTTACCACGATCGCCCGGCTCATTATTCGCATATTCTACGGCAACTATTAAATAGGGATTTTACTGTCCATCGAATAGGTATTTCATATGGGATTACCTTAAGGAAACATGAAAGAGTCACTACTTCAGAAAGCATGAAACAGCGAATTATAACTGCGTGTTGTCATGTCAGGAGAAGAACTTTATTATTTGTTCATCAATCTTTTATTAAACGAATTAATATATATTTAGAAGTTGAAGGTCAAAAGCATCGAGCATTTGTTGTGATCTTTTTAAATAAAATAAAACATCTGTCAGAAGAAAATATGTTGTACGTTGTGCTTGAGCAATTCGTGTGCTCCTTATATTGAAGGCATTACTTTTGTTTAGGTGCCTTTCATTTATTATGTACACGATGCTTATACGTTCAGCCCGTTCATATATTGATCAAATTATATATTATATTATCCTGTTCATTTATGTTAACAAAGTGCCGTTGGGTTAGGATCATGTATCAGATCATTTACAATACATATAACTCTAACAGGTTATGGGCACAGAACCACGAAAATTTTGTGAAGAAGTAAAGTCATATTAAGTGGAATATTACGTGCATCTCTTGTGAAGTTAATTGAGTGAGGTGAGAATAACCGAAAATGACTAGTAAGGCAGGAGAAAATACTTCGATTTTAGAAGTATTCCTTTTAAAACCTCTTACCTGCTTATCTGAGATTATTCAATTATAGTGGTTTTCTTGTGCATTAAGGAACATCCAAGTTATTAGTAGAATATGGGAAGCAGGTAAAATGGATCGGTTGTAACACAGCATGGCATTATTTATGTACGTGTCCAGTCGTTACAGCCATAACATTGGACCCATTTTTCATTAAATTTGTTTGTACTATAAGATTCTTAATCATCTTCGTATGCTTTTATATGCATGGTTCCTTTATTAGTTTCTCTAGTTTTTGTACGAGGCATTCTAAAAGTTTAATTATGATATTAAATTATTGCAAATTTAAATTTATTAGATAATCTAATTAAATATAGGTACTTATTTAAATTATAAGATGAGGAAAATTAGGCGTAGATATCTCACAATCAACCCCGACTGTCGGTGTTACAATCATCCCCGACCGCACATTCAATCTTCAATTATAAATTGTTATCTATAACATGCTTGTTAATGCAAAGTAACTATCAGTATTTCTGGAAGGAAGAATATATTTTATTATACCGAAAAATTAAAAAATATATATTAATATATTTATAATATATTTACAATATATTACCGAAAAATGATTTTCTTCCTTACACATAAGTATGATAGATGAGTATGTAGCAAATGTCATTTTACATTTTATGTCTGAACCGTGTAATAATATCTATCATATATTTTGAGATATGTAACGTGTTACAACCGTCATTGGTCTTCCCTAACATTATGTGGTTCAGTGACAGGTTTAACAAATACTATCTTAAAACGATTTTATTTAAACCATGGCTTGGAGTTAACCAGCACGCAACATGGGGACCACGAGGGTTATGCCTCCTGACTTCCGTCGCGCGTCTCGCTTCCCGTGATCGCCCCTTTCGACTCGAAGCACCTCAGGCACGTGTGCCTGTTGCTTTATACAGGGTATCCCAAAATTATCGTGTTTCCGAGAAGAAAAATTCCTGAGATCATTTGAAGTAACTTTTTCTTTAACGAAAATGCAATCCGCGTTTTTGTTTACGAGTTATTAACGAAGAACCGTGACCAATGAGAGGTAAGCGTGCGAACTGCAAGGTGGACGAGCGAGCGAGCTGCACTTGGCTTTGGCCGCGGGGCGCGTAGTTAAACTGTGACAGCTGTTTTAATTATTAATTAAGCCGTTTACAGTGAAGATTATCAATAGGAAATCCTGTCAAAGTTGCGCAAACGATATTTTTGTTCCAATAATTCTGTACCTAAACAGAATTCAACGAACGATTCGCCAAGCTAATTTAGTAATAAATCGTATTAAAGAACATGAAAGACATGCTTGTTTAAGAATTGTGAAGAATATCATTAATAGTAAACTCAGCCATTTAGTTGAGGATGCATTTCCTGCTGGAAATGTGAATCACGATTGGAGGGACCTCAGGTAGGAACGGTATGGTAAACACGGAGTTCATTTTCACAACACTGTCGCCAAACACTGAGCACTTAATGAATCCTCGACAATCGGGGAAAGTCCGTTGGATTCCTCTCGTTGATTCATTTTGATCGAATGAATTCACAGAGTTCACATTTACATCACTGTCACCAAACACTAGCTACTTAATTTAAACCTCGGTAGCCAAAAAAGGTGTGCAGATGTCCTTTGAACTCCTCTCATTGATTTCTGCATTAACTGTTCGCCTTTGTATATTCCGAAATTCCTCCCGCGACCTCCGCACTGTTTTATTCACATTTCCGCGGCACTTCACAAATACTCAAAACATTCAGTATTGTTCTTGCGAAGAATACATTGCGACGTTAGCTCGACGAAAACTGGAGAGCGACTAAAAATCCCTACCACGCACCTGGAAATCTTGTTAAAAAATTTTAGAACTTTTACCTGGTGATGAGTATACTGTGCAGCGAAATTCATCGTGCGAGCCCGGCTATTAGAGCCTAAGCATAAGTACCTATAATTGAACCATACAATTGTTCTTCTAACATTACTATATCATACTGTTTTTCTAATATTTTTGAGTATCGTTAACGAGGACGAAGATATCGCTTTGTAACAGCTTTAGTGAATCACCCTATATAATATACATTTAATATGATAAATATAAAATAAGACTTAAAATGAATGGAACAAAAGAAAATAAAAGTTAAAGTTAAAGTTTTAAATAGTATATAAAAATTGTTTTTAAATGTAATGCTATGCAGTCCCTGAACTCTCTGATTGCAGTGGTTCCACTGAATGCAGGACCGAGAGCAGGAGATCTAAACTCTATCTGCATCATAGTATAAACATATCCTGCCCTAAGCAGCTCCTACGAAGAGT